ACATAAGTTAGAACAAAATGAAGGCATCACATTCAATTACAATTGCCCACATAGTCAAATTAACTTCAAAATTAACATCCTTCATTCCATTTATATTCCCATCTAAACCATCCTATTCAACTCCAGCATTGTAAGAAATAATCAGAAAAATGAGTAGTAAACAAGCAATAAGACATCTTTTCAGTACTTTTGACTTGTACCTATTTCTCTCATGCTCCAGCTCTGTGTCCAACCTGGTCACTCGACGCAGCAAATCAGATATTATTTGTCGAGTTTAACTACACATTGGAGGGTCCACCCATACAAAATAACCACACAATCCACCATTCTGTATACATTAAAACACAACACTTGTGCAATTTAGAAAAAACAAAACTTTGTAAAAATGTAGATAATCACATTGACGAAAAGGCTGGAGTTGCATCATTTTTGTTTCCCCTGTGCAATTGTTGAATTCCTTGGACAATTACATTGTTTATGATACACAATTTCTATAACTTACAAACACTGAACTAGAACCTTTAATTGTGTTCCAGAATCTCTGACTCAAGTTGGCTATGAGAATGGAATTTTTAAGAAATCAAGAAAATAAGGACAACAATTTTACCCCCATGATTATCGTTGATTAAGATCTAATATTTATATTGTTTATTGAAAAAATCAATTATTTGGCTATGAAAGTTTGATAAAGATGATAATTTATTTACGAATTGACGCTATGTTAATAAAATATGAGTTGTGTTTATTGTTGCAAGATAATGGCAATAAGTTGGAGAAAATTAAGTTAAGTTAGAGCAAAGCTAAAAAGAAGTGCACTGGAATGCGCATCCAGACGGTTGAAGGATACGTGTCCGAACGCAAGAGGCAGAAAATGGAAGCTGAAGAAAGGAGTATACTGGAATTTGCGTTCGAATGATAAAGTGACACGCGTCCGAACGTGTGTCATTGGTCTGCCAATGCCAAAGTGAAATTTCAGTGCAATTCAATCTTTTCTTCAATAATCTTATAAATAGGAGTTGAAGACCTTATAAAAACTACCTTTTGCTTAGAGTCTTTTTATATTTTATTTTTGGTTTTAGTTCGTCATGCCAGGTTAAAAGATTTAACTAGGACTAGGGGAGAACTTTTCAATGAAGTACAATAATGTTATTGACTTTTGAGCTTAATGATATGTGACGTTTTGTTAATTCAATTTTTGATTTCTTAGCAAAATTTTTGTTCTATAAAAATCTTTGAGTCATTGTGCCATGTACATTGATTGCTTGAATTTTCCTGTGAGTCAAATATCTTGTTATTCCATACTTAAGTTGTTTATCATTATTTCATAGAATAATATAATTTGATGATTATTCAAATTCCTGAATAATCCTTTGATTATAAATAACGATAATCTTATGATTTTATTGCGAAATTTGGTGATTTGAATCAACCGACATTTGATTTTTGTCTAGGGTTAAGAATTAAGTCTTTAATTATTATTGTACGAATTTAAGAGGGAGTACCTGATGCTCTAGTATTTTTGTTATACTATTTTAATTACTTCAATCAATATTATCAACTCAACAATCTTTTAAACAAATCGTCTTCACAAAATTGTTATACTATTTGTGTGATTGTTGTTGTTTCACAATTCCCTAAGGGTTCGACCTCGGTCTTCTAAGTCACTCAACCTACGCTTGGGTTTACATAATTAAAGTTGAAGCAATCGAAGGAAAGAAATTGCCTCCCAGGATTTAACTCTGTCCATGAAGTCTTCATTGATGCTCTCTTATCTCAATAACAAAAGCCCTCCATTCTTTCTCCTCTGTTCTTCTACTCCTTCCTTCTTTAGCAATGGCATGGAATGTATGAGGGCAAAATTAATTCAAGACCAGCTATGGCGCCAGAATAAAAGAGGGAATTGAGTTTGGTGTTTTTACATGATTGTCCTTCATGTTATCACGTGCATGTCACGTGATAGCTTGAGTTAACAACAAGTTTAACGTCCGTCAGTCTTGGAGCTACATTGTCACCAAATATTAACATTGAGGGAGCAATTTGGAACAATCAATCTTTCGTGGTACAAATTAAAATTTTTGCAATCTTTCGGGGGACAAAGTGCCACTTACCCAATAAAAAACGTTAACTTTAACTATATCCTTTTCTTGTTCTAAAGAATTTAAAAAAAAAAAAAACTACATCCTTTTGGCTGCTCCTTTTTGGAGGACACAATTGGCCCCTCCCCAATTTACTTTCATTACTTAGATGGCGATGTTTTTATAGCCTTCTCAACATGTAATATAAATTATGAAAGTAATATAATCAATTCTATAAAATATTCTCGATAATTACTTAATAGATTGATAATCCAATCAATGACTATGGGTATGACTAATCACTGCAAGTAAAATTCTTTGTTGCGAGATTCAACAACAAATTTCGTATTCCTTCTCGACCAATACTGATTTAAGGGACACTCGTGTGGGTTTCTCACAAAGTAAGAAAGTAAGAGAAATTGTATGATAAAGAATTCAAAAATCCCTAAGCAACAACCTAGAAATATATGAAGTGGATCCATTTTTCCATGAAACTTGGGTGAATCAGAAACTAGAAGAAGAGTATAGAAGTAGATTAAGTTGATTTAGTATAATAATAATGGAGACTAGCCTTTGGGCCGCCACGCATTAATAATTTTGCAATATTACATATATCAAACAATATATGCCATAATGTCAATACCATGGAAGTTACTTTTCATGAACAATTTGATTATCGAAGGTTAATTACAACACTTACCCTTTAAAAAGCACAAGGCTAATTTCACTGATTTGGAGTGATACTTTGTAGTGCCATAACATGATCTTTTTACTCTAGAACCATCCAAATTACACATTTTTAAACTCTTGATCGCAATATAAAAAGAAAAATATAATAAAACTAAAAAAAAATTCAAAAAATTAAAACTCAAATGTATATCATCCTTTGGATAAGTGTGGGATGAGTGAGCCCCACTGAAAAAATTGAGAGGACCCACTCATTCAAAAAATGATATATTTTTTAATTATAATTTTTTACTTTTCATTTGAGTTTTGTAAGATTACTCATATAAAAAAATACAATCCGTCACAACCATAATCAAAATTCATGATAATTTAAATGTATATTGTCTTTTAAATAAGTAAGTGTCATTAATTTTTTGGATTGCGTTTTTTGAATTTTATTTGAATTGTATAATATTTCTCATTATTTTTTCATAAAACGGTTACAATATTGAGAGTATTTTATTTCAAGTAATTTTAATGTAAAAACCCGTCATAAAATTTTCTTAGTACGAGAGATCATTTTAGTAAATATAATAAACATTATTCCTACTTAGTAAACAAATTTGAGGGTAAAAAAATTATGAGCAATACTATTTAAATTTATGCTCCGTTTGATACGATGGAAAAATAGATGGATGGATGAAAAGTTGGAAGGATGAAAAGTTTAAGGGACAGATAAAACATCATGTTTGGTAAGGTAGGAAAGTAGAAAAGATAGAAAAGTGGATGAATTAACTTTCCTTCCAATTCACCCAAATTGGAAGGAAAGTGAATAAAAAATTAATTATTTGTGTTGAAATGTATCTTATTTGTCTATATATATATTAATTTTATATAAAAATATAATTATAAAATACGTATTTATTTTTCATTCATCCAACCAAACACAAAGGAATGAAAGTGTATCATTCCTACTTTCTATTTTTGAAGAATAGAAAATATATCCCTTCTATTTTTCATCATTCCTATCAAATAAAATATTAATGACCTAATAACTCATAATTATTAAATTAACAGTGTATTTCAATATTTATTTACATCCATTATCAATTTAATTGCCGAATAATAAAAATTTAATGGGCGATTAAGTGAACATGTTCAAAAATTTGGACGATGGAATGCAAGTACACGAAGAGACACCAGGACCCAACCTGACATGTAGCTCGTCAACGCCAAATGACTCACTGGTCCCACTCTAAACACAATCCAGTCTCTTCTGATTCAGTCACTAATTAAGCGGTGTCCCCGTGGGTGCCGCCCCATATCCATATTAAAATAACCAGATAAAATTATGCTTAAGAACCTTTATTGTGTCTCCAGGCCGTCGGATCAAACATCCATAAACAAGTATTAAATGCAATTGTATTGTCTTCGGCATTATGTTATGTTAAAATTATAATAAATTAAATCTAATTGATCATAAAATAATTATAATTTTCAATCAAAAATTATTTTAAACTGCTAGAATTTAATTTGAAAAATTAATAATTATTTGTAGTGTAGTAAAATTTAATTTTTGTGTAGGCGTAATGTAACTAATGTTGTGCCAGTCGGCAGTGAGACAGTCCGTGCCTCTAAACATGAAGCCGCTTTCCTACGTTAAAGCATTGTCCGTACAGGTGTGGTACCTCCTATGACTCTCTATCGTGAGCAATCAACCTATTTAACTTGCTACTAATGATTACCGCGCAGGTTAACAACAGAAATCAGTTTTCTAACGTGCGCCTAATGTTTTCCTGCTCAGGGTAGCTCAAGCAATTCAAATTCTCTAAAGTGCGCAGCTGCGCAGCGCAACCAAAGCAACCAGAACTTTATTGAATCTCCCACACGTCGGCGACGTCGCCGATGAGTAATCCACAGTTGATTGAAAATCATGTAAAACATTTAAAAAAAAAAAAAACAGAAGATTTTGTTTTATGAAAACAAGAACAAGAATTTATCAGATACGATGAACCAACATCGGAGAAATCCTCATTCAAAGCCGGAAAAAAGATTAGTTATATCTATACACAGGAATACATTTATATCAGCACAAAGAACCTTGTCTGGCTGCCCTCTCTCTCTCTAGACTTTCTCAATTAACCTTTTTTTTTTTTGTAGTTGTTACAATTCAGAAAGGAAAAAAGCGATCACTTTAGAAAATAAAAACGAGGAACGTAGATCGGAAAAATAGCCGGCGGCGATGCAAGTTCTCTGACATCAATCGATTTCCGGTGCAGCAGGGAGGTTCAGATCGAGATCGAGGACTTTTCTTGACGAACTACGGACCGAATAGTTATAATCAACAACAGAGGAAGAGTCAGAGTCGCTATGAACACCACCGAAGACAGTGGGGTGGAAATCGGCCACAGATCGCCGTAGTGTGAACATATTGAACTGATCTGTGATGGAATCAGGTCTCGAGAACGCGTCAAAGAATAAAATCGGACGCGCCGTCGGGAAAACGGCGGAAAAAGGTGCTCCACCGCCGAGATTGAGGTCGAGAGATGGAGGACTGGAGATGATCTGCGGCGCAGAGCCCGAGGACTCGACGGTGCTGCTCTGGCTAGGGCTCCGAGTGGCGGAGGCGTTGCGATTATCAGCCGTCGATATTTTGTCGGCGACGAGTTCGGAGAGGGTAGGGAAATTGGTCTTGGCCTTGGCGCCACGGAACTCACGTGCGGCCGTGTCGTAAGCACGCGCCGCCTCTTCGGCTGTGTCGAACGTACCAAGCCAGACTCTACTCTTCTTGCCGGGATCTCTGATCTCGGCGGCGTAACGGCCCCATGGTCTCTTTCTCACCCCTCTGTAACGAGCCTCGCAAATTACGCCGCCGCCAGCGGTACCTTTAAGGACGGTAGATTTCTCTCTTGGAGCCATTGTTATTTATGGTTGTTACGTTCTTTGTGAGAGCAGAGTTGTCATAGAGAGAGATGGAGGTGGAGGGAGCAATTGAGTGGGTTTTATAGAGGGGAGGCGAAGAAGAAGGTAACCCCGACGCGTTTCATTGAGCCGCGTGGGTAATATAATGGCCATGTGAATCCTTTTGCGGTGGATTCTAGCCTTCTAGGGGCTACATTGAAGGATTTTCATTAGCCACTCAAAGCTGTCCACGTTTAATAAAAAAGATCAAAAATTTCAGTTATACCACCTATAAATTGTTATATCTATAAACTCACCTGTCACATTTTTTCAAACTTTAATTTACATCTTTCTAATTTCTCCATCCGTTTGAGATAATATCTCTGCCACAAGTGACTATCACTTATGAGCTAAAAATTCAAATGTAATTAAAAATATTCTTACGCTAATGTTTATTTTGCCATTAAAATAAAGAACTGAACCAAAAATGAGTCATTGAGAACGTCAAATTTATAAATATAGCAATGTGATACACACTAGAAAAGATGATGTCAAAGTGCTAAAAATGAGAAACATAATTATTAGTGGTAAAAGAAATAAGGAATACACACAAAAAAACCCATCCCACTTTGGTAGAGTTGTCCCAAGTTAAATGGCTTCACTCGTAAATTATAATTCTAAAATTCGCCCTAGACATATACTTGGGAAAGGGATTAGATTAATGAGTTTTTGACAACGTTGGATTAGGGGTCGAATCGGTAAAATAAGAAAAAAAATAAAAAATTAATAATAATAATAAATAGACTAAAAAATCACAATTATTACGAAAATAGTATTCTTAATATATATTAAATCAAACAAAAAATTCCCAAAATCAAATAGATCAATAAGTAACAATTACGCAGTAACTTAATAAAAAACCCATGCTCAATTAGGCTATAAGATTTCATCTCCACCAACTTTCAATCAAATAGATTAAAACCCTAATTCCATCTCCTCCAAATCCGAATTGCATAAATGAATTGATAACTAAGCAATGCTCTTAATCTATCGCAAATGCTCTTAATTTCATATGCAATATCAAGTTATTATCAAGTATCAACTAATTTATTAACTCAAAATTACAATAAATACTAAAATAGTAGAGAGAGAGAGATGTATCTATTGAGCTTAGCCCTAAGGGAGCAAGAAAATTACCAATCAATTGGCCGATGGTGGTGGAGGACTCTGATAGACATTTGATGATGGTGATAGACAAATGATTCCTTCAATTTCAGGTTTCGAGTCGACAGTACAATATGAGAGAGAGAGAGAGAGAGATATTAGAGCTCAGCTCGTTGGACTCGATAGACTTAGATAGGTAGAAGAGGCGCAGAACAAATGGATGGTGGTTAGGTGTAAAACGATTAGGAAAAAAAAATGCTCAAATCTCTCCAAAACTTAATATTTGTAGTCTTGTAATAAATCCGCTTGATTCATTAAAATTGTCTAGTTCATTGGGTTAACGTCAAAATCATCCTATTTAGCGAGTTCTATTCGGTTTTTATACCTAAATAATTTAATAAGGAGACCGGTTCGGTTCGGTTCAGTGGTTGTTTTACCGGGTCAACTCGTCGAACTAAGCCGATTTTTAAAACACTAGTATAAATACAACAATCCCATCCAACATCGGTAGTAAATGGAAACAATCCAGCGATTAGGCCTTATCTTCAAAGCCTAATATTGGAAAGCTTTGCATGGGCCTTGACTTTAGGGCCTAATTAGTTCAAATATTTTTTATATTTGTTTGACGTATTTTTGAATTGTGAGTGCGTCAAAATTTAGGTGGACTTAAAATTCAAAGATGTACAATCTTACCTACTCGAACAGATGTATGGTTTTAAAATTGTGACTATTCAAACGACTATGTTGAAGAGCAAAGGTACCTCTAGGCTCCATTTTATACCTTGGAGCTTCAACGATTTTAGATATTTTCACTAATCAGAGACATGTGAGTACTACTAAAAGTAAATAGCAGAAATACAAAGTAACAATTAAATTCAAATATGGAAGACGAGAATATTGGATTTGGCATAAATTGAAAGCAATAAAAAATCACAGAAGTGATGTATTACAAAAAAGGTAAAGACTGCTTAGTAAGGATTAAGAGAAAAAATAGACTCGCTCTGTGAAGAATGTTTGTGATTGATCTTGGGACGCTTTTCTAGTAACCTAACCTCTGTTATTTATAGAAATAACTCTCAACTGTTGATCCATTTTTTTGGCCACTACTTGTAATCTTGGCCTTTTCCATTGAAATACGTGAATGTGTGCTGAATTGTTTTCAATTGGCGACTCATGATGTCATGTTTTTTTGTTTTTCGAGATTTCAAAAATTTTATTTCACTAACCGTTTTGTAAATTGTGGATTCTCACAAACTTCATTATGACCAATAGATTCTTTCTACGTGTCACCCTTTGATCTTGCTATTTTTTAGTGTAAATAGTATTAGTAAAATTATTTTTCAAATAGCATAATTCGTGAATTATAATTATGAAATCACAAATCCCCTCTAAATTTGTCAATTTGCGTTGGGCACAAATCATGTGATCTAGGGTATGACACACCATAATTTAGTATTATCCTTATATATCCATTAAACCCTTTTCTTTCTTTCTGATCCTTCCTCTCCCTATCCAACACAAAACCCCAAAGCATCACCATCCATATGCGCGCACACACACACAACCTAACTCGCCGCCATGCCCCTTTTTTTTTGTAATTACGACATAGAAAGGGCAAACAAAAGAGCATTTTCGAAGAAAATGCACAAGATGACATAGCAATTTCATTTTCATGATTAGTTGCACACAATAAACACATGGAATTATAGACTTTTCCAAGGGCTGTTACATCTTGATGCAAATAAGTCAATTGTTCGATTGTGATTGAATAGAGAATTCAGGGAAAAAAAACGTGATTCCCATGCTCTTTATATATAAAATAATTTTTAATGGAATAGAGTGATGAAACAATTTATAATCTAAATTGCACTCCACATAGTAATATAAATTAAAATCATATGGTTATTATGAAGTGTTGGGTAGGAAAATGGGAGTAAACGTATGTGGGCTGACCGGGTTGGGTCGAATCAATTCATATCAAAAGAAAAGCCCATTAATCCACCTATTTAAAAAAAATTCCTAAGAATTTCACCTATTTTTATATATTTCTAAAGTATTGACAGATTAACTTCTTAAGTCAAGTCGAGCTTATCCGCCTAGCAAAATAAGCCCAAGGCTTTGCCCGTTGAACTACCGAGCCGCCAATGTTCGGCTGAACGGCCCATAGCCCATAGAGCCATAGACCAAATTTCCTATATCAAGCTGATAAAATTCAAGAAAACCCTTTCAAACCCGAAAAAAAAAAGAGGGAGAAATTTATAATTAATTAAGAATTATAAAGGACCAATATATATTCAAAATATAATGAAAAATAGTACCACTAGTATTCACACTCAACACACATATTGTTGTGCTAGGACTAATGCATCATTTGGTACGATAGAAAATTGAAAAGAAAAAAAATTAGAAATATGAAAAATTAGAATGATAGATAAAATATTATGTTTGGTAAATAAAGAGTGTGTTTGACATGACTTAAAAAAAGTGTTTTTGGGACTTTATCTTATGAAAAATACTTTTAAAAAAAAAATAGTGTTTGGCTTAACTTGTTAAAAACACTTTTTTGATAAGTAAAAATAATTTGAGCACTTAAATAAGTTAATAAAAAAAGTAAAAATAATTAACTTTTAATTTTAAAAATCAATTCTCATTTTCTCCTCGCTCCCCCAGTAGCTCTCTGTAAGTTCCCGTAGCTCTAGTTCCCGATAGCTTTGACAATGAGAAACTCACCAATGGATGAAGGAGCAAAGATTGAACTCTCCCAAAGGTTTTCCACCGCCTCTTCCGATACACATTTCACTTTAGCTTCATTGTCTGGCGGAGATTTTTTTTTCCTTGATTTCTCAATCCGAGTCAAAGCTTGAGATTCCTCCACTAGGTCTTTCAACAAACCACTATTTCCTAGTGGAAATTCTGGTGCAATTACATACTCATCAGAATCACTTGATGTTGCATCTATTATATAGCCACCCCCAGTGTTTGCAAACAAAGTTGGTGATGGTTTTGGCATTGGTGATTGGATTGAAGGCAGCTCAATACCCATGTCCAATGAACTGATTGGATAAAAAGAAACTTCCTTCTGAGGTCTTGGATTGTTGTTGTAACGGAAAGAATTGAAGTGAAGTGAAGGTGTTTGTTGAAATAGATCATTGGAAAAGCTAGGATTAAACCAAGGCTTTGTGGCTGTAGGAAATTACAAACCGGGGGATGTAAATGACAAAGCGAGACCACCATTGTTGTCGCGAAAGAGATTGAACTGTGCGTTGGAATTGGGGAGAAATGAAGAGTTTGGGTGGTGCTTTGGAGGATTGGCAGTGGGTGGAAACAATAAATTAATACATTAATTTAAGTTTTTACATCCAAACGTGCTTTTTATAAAATACATTAATTTAAATATTTTAAATTTTGAATATTCAAACAATACTTATTTAATAAAAGTGTTTTTCTTATAAACACTTTTGATAAACATTTATTAAAAAATTATTTTTTGGATTTCTTAAGTCATCCTAAACACAATCAAAGAAAATAAGAATGATGAAAAAGTGAATGAATTAATTTTTCTTTTAATTCATCAAAATCATTTCCTCTAAAATTAGGAGAAAAAGTAGATAAAAAATTAATTATGTATTAAAATGTATGTCATTTGTCTATATATGATTTTATATATACATATATCATATTTATCAATTACATATTATGTATATATTAATTTCATTTATAAATCTATAATAATAAGATAGAACCTAATTTGAATCTTTTCCCACTATAAAATTTAATTTAATTTAAATTTATTTGGGAAAGCACAAGGACGGTTCAGATTTCATCTCAATTTTTCCAACTTAATCTAGAGGCTC